CCTGATTTGCTCTCTTTTCCTCACTGTTTTTTATGCTTTTTAGGTATCAGTTGTCATTGATTCTCTAGCTAGAAAGGAATTGTTGCGAAGAGAACTTACTAACACCTAATATGAAGTTTCAGGATTACACACCAAGCAGCAGAGATTCTGGAAAAATATAAAAGCTAAAACTAATAACTGTTTAATAAATCCAAACTCTGTTTTTCCTCATCCCTTCCAGAAAACAACAAAAGCAGGAGTCTATTTTTAACCTGTCATAAGGGGACGAACAAGACGGGTCTTACTTTGCATTCCTTTTTCCCTTCTCTCCCTGCAGGTACTACAAGAGCTCGGTTGTGCTGATGTGCTTTGTGATCCCCACCGTCGTGCCGTGGTACCTGTGGGGCGAGAGCCTGTGGAATGCCTACTTCCTGGCCTCCATCCTGCGGTACACCATCTCCCTGAACGTCACCTGGCTGGTCAACAGCGCCGCTCACATGTACGGCAACCGCCCCTACGACAAGAACATCAACCCCAGGCAGAACACCCTGGTCACCCTGGGAGCCATCGGTGAGTGCTCTGCCAACTCAGAGGGATGTCCCAGCCTCTTTCACCCTGCTTGGGGCTCTGGGTGCCTGCAGCTGGACACCGCTTGGAGCCAAAGTTTGGAGGAGGCCGGAGCTTGTGTGTCCTAATGGAAGGCGCCCTTGTCCTGCTAATGGTGCCCACGCTGAAATAACACCACGTAGTCTCTGGGAAAGGAGGTGTTAGCAGTCAGCAGCAAGCTCTGCTCAGCAGATAGTGCAGTAGAAGTGAGTGACCCCACTTCTGACTCACTTGTGTGTCTCCGCTCTTGAAGCACTTCTGATTTTCTTCCCTGAGCGTAAAGAGTGGGACATGCCCTTTCCTACCGGGGAGGAAAGCCCAGAGCACTGAAACGGAGTCTGGTTTGGGTCTGCCCCAGAGGTCTGGGGTGGAGCATGACCTCCACTAGATGCAAGACTTGGGAAATGGGTGTTGGAGTGTCCTGCCCAAGTTCCTGTGTTGCCAAAAGTGACCAGCCACGTGGTCTTTAAACTCCCTCTCTGTTTTTCAGGTGAGGGTTTCCACAACTACCACCACACCTTCCCGTTTGACTACTCAGCCAGTGAGCTGGGCCTGAAGTTCAACCCCACCACCTGGTTCATTGACTTCATGTTTTGGCTGGGGTTGGTCACTGACCGCAAGCAGGCTCCGAAGGAGATGATCCAGGCTCGCAAGGAGAGGACTGGAGATGGCAGTGCCTGAGCAGTGCGCGCGCAACCCCGTGCCTGTGGTGGATTTACCTCTGGGTAAAAGTTGATTTTTTGTTATTTCAGATTGGTTGGGCTGAATTAGTTCCCCAGGAATTGATTCAGCCACGGCTTTTTTTTTTTTTTCTTCTTTCTTTATTAGCTGTCTTATGTCCAAACTTAAGACTATTAAGTGTAAAAATGTTATATATTATTTAATATTGCAGTTCAGCGGGAGAGAGATTTGATTTTAGTCACTGTAGTTCATGTCTGAGATTTGTTGTAATTTGCTAGTTCATGGTAAATGTTGGCAGGTTGAAGGAACTAACTGTCCTTTCCAAGTGCAGTTAGAGGAGATTTTTGTTCCTATTGCTAATCCAATAAGGTTTTGAGGTGCATCTTTTGGGAGGATGGGGCAGGGCCCAGTGTGCTGTGTCAGCTGCATGCTCATGGAAAGGACAGTAACACCACAGATAAAAAACAGTATGTCCAAGGGGAAAAATCACCCTCAGTTTAGTTAGATGTTAGTTTGGAAACCTGCTTTCTTCTTTTTGTTAGCCCTGTTAGCCAGCCCAGTGCACTGCTGTCTTTGCTAAATATGAAAACCATTTATTGCTGAACAGGCTTTTGTGTTGAAGACTAGTCTCTATACAGGCCAAAATACCAACTGATGTTATATTGAGATGGTTCCTTTGTTGTCATATATACATTGTACTCGTAAATGTATAGAGCTCAACCATGTCTTAAGCCAAATAAAGCTTCAGTTTCAATGTTTGGAGACCTAAGTCATATTCTAATCAGTCATGGCCATCGATGCATGCATATTTTAGCTCCTTTTGCACAAGTGGCCTCTTAATTTCTTTTTTTGCCTTTGACTAGTGGGTCTTAGAAAACTGACCTTTATCTAAGTCAGAGCCTGTACTAGTATTTCAGCTGCATGCAACATCCATTGGTTTCTGAGCAAAATATAAAGACAGTTATGTAGCTTCTGAATTTTAACAGTTGCCTTGCTTAACCAAAAAAAAAAAAAAAAAAAAAAAAAAAAAAAAAAAAAAATCTAAAAAAAAAAGGCATGTGGATTTATTGGGACATATAGCCCTTTGTGTTAGATGTTAGCCAGTGCAGGAAAGAGGCTTTGTACTGTCAGCACTGGAGCACTTTTGAAGATAGAGGGCATGATTTTCATTTATAAAGAAGGTCACTGTCTTGCCCCTCAGAGAGGGAGTGCCTGTTTCCCAATCACACAGCCCCACACGCTGGGCAAGGCAAGGATCTCAAGATAACTGAGACTCAGGCCCAGATATTTTCAGGAAAGATGCAAAAGTGGGGGAAAAAAATAAAATGGTTTCTTTTTTGTTCTGTTCCTTGTTTTTCAAATGATGACATATAATAGAAAAGAGTTGTCTTTATTCTGTCTTTCATCCAACAGGTGTTTTAAAAGTGTTATTTTGCCGTTAATGATGTGTAAACTCCTGAGTGATTTACAATAAACAGTTATGAGTTAGCCTGGCCACTGTGTTTAATTTTGAAACATCTCCCAAAGCAAAGGTCTTTGTGCATCACACATCAGAATTACAGCAGTGTTTTGCTTGGCATTTCCAGCTACGCATTTGGTGCAGCTCAAAATACCTTCCCCCTCAGCATTTCTGAATGTCAGGGGAAGAGGAGGCTGTCAAATGGAAGGACACCAAGGGATTTGATTACTTTGGGCTTCCTGGCCAAGCTGATAGAGGGGGAAAAGAAACTGGAAGCTGACGGAGACTGTGGCAAGGTCTTGCATGTGAAAATCCCACTTTAATAGAAAAATACCAGCCCATTGTGACTGCAGGACAATGCTTTGGCCAAAAATACTAAATATTTTACTTAGATTTTCCTGTAAATTCTCATTTTTTTCTGCTGAGATGGGCCTGAAGACCCGGGTGTGCCTGAAGATGTGTTTTGATGTGCATTAATCGGAAGTCAGAGCCATTTGACAGATGCAGGAATTACACACAAACACACACACACACACACACACACACACACACACACACACACACACACACACACACACACACACACACACNACACACACACACACACACACACACACACACACACACACACACACACACACACACACACACACACACACACAAGCTCCTGGAGCTGGGAGGCTCCTGACTTGCTGGTTCAAAAGATAGAGCTGTTCCTTCCACGGCAAAAATCATAGGGAACCTGCCTTCAAAGTGATGTGTGTAATGGGTTTGGACTTGGGGTGTGAGTGTAGGAGTGAGGCTTGGAGAAGATGTGAGAACGCCTGATCTCACCGGTGCTCTCATCCTTTCCTTTGTGCAATTTCCTGACCACAGAACTACAGGGAATGCACCAAGATACACAGCTTCCTGTTGATCTTTATCAATTTTCTTTTGTACTGCTATTGCTTGCACTTCCTTAGGCTCATTCCTGTCAAGTGCCTGGTGTAAGAAGAATAAGTGGCCTTACTAAGAGGCACATGCTGTTCTGAGCCGCTCTGAATACTTGAAATTACAACAAGGTAATATTCCCCCCACCCTCCTCCAGGTATAAGACTTCAAAAGCAGCAGCAGTTCCAGTGCATTTCAGGGATCTGAAAACTGAAATTGAAGCCATTGTCAAGTTACCTGGTTTTGAAAAACTGAAAAATACTAAAGAAACATTGTTCAGAAAAGAAAAAGCTCCTCCATCAAATGTTTTATCTGGAAGCTTATGCTACCTGAATCCCTCTTTTTGCAGATGAAATTCTCCATGTGGTAGAGTAGATAAAAAGGTGTCAGCCTTTACAGGAAAACTCGATTCTTTAAAGAGAGTGCCACCAATTTTGGTAAAAAATGAATACTTCTGTGCATTTCCTTTTTTGCTTATTTGTTTGTATTTTTGTGTTTGTTTTGAACTTTTTGCCTATTTGTTTTGATATTTTTTTACAGTTTGGTCGTGTTCTTTAGTGTGGTTTTCTCTTCCTCTAGAAAATGTAGGGTCTGTGGGATACAGGAACGGCCACTGCCATTTCTCAGTGTTGAATCCCCTGTTGAATGGAGTGATGTGGGGAAGTTGTGGAGTGTTGGTAGGGTGGGCACTAGGGCATGAGCTGCACTTATTTCTGTGGACTTTGGCACTTCTCCTGCTGATTTGGTAGTCGAAGACCTGGCTAGAGCTTTCTGAGCAGTGCAGGAGTGTTGAGGGACTGCTGGTGGATTGGTGGCTGGCTGTAGGTTGGACTTAACCAGTGACTATCTCCTGAGACCTGATGGTCTGGCAGTGCCTGACCTTGTGTTATCTCTAACTCTGTTCTTGGCACACTAACCCATCTGGAATAACCACATAGCAGTGGAAGCAGGTGTTTGTACTCTGCCTCATCCACTGTTGCACTGAGTGTTTGCAGGCTCTCACTTTGGCACACAGCAGGCACTGGATCAGTTTTGCCTCTTTTCCCAGAACTGGTGGGGCCCTTATGAAATGCAGCGTTGGCTCTGGAGCTGTGTGCTCCTTCCAAATGGAGCAAGTCAGCTGCTTTCTGGCATGGGGTGGCTCAAGGGAATGCTAGCCTGCCCTGGGATCCCTGGGACTTGGCACAATCTCTAGAGGAGGATCTAATCTGTAAATTACAGCAGAGAAGAGGATTTAATCTCCAAATTAGAGCATGTAATTGGTTATGCCAACACTGATGAAACGCGGCCCCTGTCTGGACTGCACACAAACACGGCAGTCATGGTGTGAGGTGAGGCCAAGGCTGTGGTGGCTGGCTGCAGGGGAACTTCCAGGCTCCATCTGACCCCATCGCTGCTGCAGCTGGGCTGGGCTAATCCCTGGAGCAGGAGTGATGAGCAAAACCTGCTGGCACTGAAGTTATACCTTGAGAAAGAGTAACAGGGAGAGGGTGAGTGCTGGTGCTGAAGAAATGCATCAGGGTTTGCATTCTTGGGGTACCAGGGGTGGATTTCTGCTCTGCCCACTTTCTCCAGAGGCTCTGCTGTTCCCTGGTAAGCGCTGGGAATGTCTGCATCCCTCTGCAGCTTGGAAGTGCAAGGCAAACTGCTGTCCCCGGCTGGCAGCCAGAACACAGCTTTCTAGAAATAAGCCCAGCAGATGGGAAATGTGGCCTGACTGCAGGTATCACATTCAGCTGCTGGGGTGGGAGGCTCCCAGGGAAAAAAAATATATCTAAAAGGTCTCCTGTGGCCACGTGAGCCTGAGAATCCATGCAAGCTGGAAGTGTGGGCTGACCTATGGGCTCTGGTTAGATGATGTTTGGGGTATTTGCAGCTGGGAGGCCTCTCAGTTTGGAGGAAGGTTGATGGTATATCAGCTCCCAGACAACGGTCCCAAAGGCATGGCCACCCTGGATTGTATTACCTCGATACCTTTGCCCCAAGGCTATTTTGTAGCTCTACCCTTTAAGTGCAAAGAGAGTTTGTGTACAGGGTGTTAACCATGTTATGGGTGTATATTGGAATCAAGGTGCAATTTCCCCGAAGATCTTATTTTAAAAGAAGAATGAAAAGCAAAACTGAAAACAGAGCGCAGTGGGAAAGGAGGGCATGTATCCACATGCCCTGCCACAGTGGCTCTGGCACAGTTGTGCCTGGCTCAGGACCAGAAACCTCTGGCAAAATCCTCTACCCAGCAGCACCAGCCCCACTAAACAGGGGAACAAAAAATTAGAACTCCTGGAGTGCCCCTGCATGGGCAGAATTGCCCACTGAATAGTTTGGAGGCTTTTGCTGTTTAAATAACCCCTTGCACATGGGGTGCATTGCTTTTAGTGAGTCCATCTCCTGCTGCCCTACTCCCCCAAAGAGTTAAATCCTGATTTAGGCTGTTTCTGTGAAAATGATGAAAGGATTCCCACCCTGGATTTCAGACAAGTGACTCCTGGAGCTGTGCCGCTGCCTCTCCCCTTCCTGCACCAGCTATGACCAAGCTGGGGTTAAAGCCATAAGAGCAAGGAGCAAAGGTGTGGCCCCAGTGCGGGTAAAGGCCCTGCCCCATACAAGCATTTTTAAAGATAAATCTACTGCTCAAGAGAAGCTGATGAGCAGCAAAGCCTGCCTGCAGAACAATAAAAAAAAAAAATCCTCTTTTGCAGGACTTGGGAAATGTTTGGAGGAAAGGCTCCACTGAGCAGCACAGATAAGAAATGTAGGTGAAATGGTGCTTACCACATCTGCACAGCATGCCTAACCTTTGTATTCACTGTGGCTACTAAACTTTCCTGACTGACACGATTCCCTTAGCATTTATAGCATGATAATAGGAAATAATTAGATTTACCCAATCTCATTATTCTTAAAAAAACCCAAAAAAACCACAGTCCTTTTTTTCCCCAGCATTTTCTGTGCTTCATGTGGGACTGTCCTCTTGCCAGGCCAGAATACACACCCGCTGGGGCCAGGGCACACCAGTGTACAGCTCTCATCTGCAGACACTGGCACTGCCAGCTTTCTTCCCCAGAGTTCACAACTCCTCTTTTTCCCATGTATTTCCTATCATAGCAGTAATTCTTTTTAACTTCTCTTTTTATGGAAAAAAGTATAATTTTCTTTCCATTTCCTCCATCTCCTTTCCTAACATTCAAATGGTATCACTTTGCTGCAGATAGATGGAATGGGTCTCTTCAATTTGCTGCTCCATTCCCTGATATAGGTGAATTTTTCTCGGTTGGGATCACGTGGGTGAACTGGGAAGAGCTTCATTTCGTAGGGTTGGGATCTGGGGATATTTCTTAGGGTGGGAGAGTGCACCTTGCAGGTCACTGCCTCTCCAGCCACCCTGAGCACACCTTGTCAAAGCCAAGCCACGAGTGGGCTTGCTTAGGTGGCATCTGTTTATCAGCAGGGCATTTGGAGATATGAAGCCTATCACAATATTTGAAAAGCTTGATAAAGGAACAGATGGCTTTGATAGGAGATGATCTGGCTAATGAAATGAGGGCTAACACTTCAACTGAGGAACAGTTTTAAAGGGCTCTTAACAGTTTTAATTGTATTTAATATATGCCTCGGGGTGTGGAGCAGCTCCAATGGCTGCTGCTGAGTGATCCCTAGGCCTATTTCCCCCACTGCTTCTCTTTCTGGATGGACAACCTTTCTTGCCTGTCCTCATCCCACCTTTGCAGCAGAAAGAAACACAACAGTAGAAAAAGGTGGCAAATACATGTTTTCTTGAAACTGAAACTCCCAGAAATGAAAGCAACTCAAAGCAATGCCCTTTTCCATTTCCCTCATCTTTGTGTACCTTTTCCTCCCCCAAAAAAACAGTCCAGGATTACCACAGCCAGTCTTCAATGGTAATTTCACCCAGGGAATGATGGCAAATAGAGGGGCATGAGGTTGCTTTGCTTTGCAGGATGAGGGTTGTGCTCCTCCCATGGTGTCCCATGAAGACATCGCAGGAAATATCTCCGAGGACCCACATAACATCACCCCTTGATGGCTGATTCCTCCCTGCATCTCTCTTGCTTCCTGCACTGGGTGGGCTCCAACACATGCTCGCTGTCCTCAGGCTGTGCCCTTTTTTCAAGCTGTGATTTTTAAAATTTGTAATAGGTTTTTGGTGGGCCTGTCAGCATCATGCGTTTTCCAGCACTCAGAGGGACACCATCTGCTCAAAAAGGAGCTGTGAACAAAATGTCTCAGACACTCAGAGTTTACCAAAAATGAAATTGCCTTAAAATCCCATATGGTGCATTGTTTCCCTTCCAGCACTGGCTGACAGCAGAGGTGAAGTGACTAAGGCAGTTTCTGATTAGTTGCTGCATTTTCCTTTCTGGCCAAAATCGCTGGGGCTGAGCACTGCCACTTCTCACCTGTTTGACAGAAGGTTTTCTTCAGCCTCAGCTGCTGAAAGCCAGAGGGTACTGAGATTCAAATACCTCCCCTCTATTACTTTTAAGGTGAGCTTTCTTGACTCTTGCCATCACAAGAAGCCTTCCAGGGAGGGATGTGGTTAATGCTGATAGCTCAAGCATATTTTTTTCCAGGCACCCGATTTTGGGGCCCCTGTTGGCTACATGGAGACAATAGCAGCTCCTTGCCCGAGGAAAGCCATACCTGGAAGGCACTTGTGGCTCCTAAGCGTGGCAGTGCCATGGGGCAATGTCAGGTGCATGCAGAGGGGAAACCTGACCAAGATCTCTGGATTTTGTGGGGTTGCAAAAAAAGCAAATGCTGCAAGGAAACATTTATTACTCCGGGATAACATAAGATTTGAAATACCAAAGCAGGAAGAATGTTATTTCAGCTCTAAAATTAGCCCCCTTGGCCTTTAAAACACTGAGAAGCATACACAGTACATGCCTTTCTGTGGGAGCATCTGTCCTCTCCCTTGATGATGCAGCCACTTTGGTAAGTGCTCAGGGGACCTGCTGGTGCAGAGCTTGCTCTGAGGATCAGGTTTTCAATCCCCGGGGATCAGAGACACGAAATCTCTTCAGTGTTCCATGAGGGCCAAAGCTGCAGGGTGAAGGAGTGTTGCTTGCTAGAAGGGCAGCCTATGAAATACTGATAAACTGCTGATGTATAACTCAGCTCAGCTCTGGGGGTTGACATGGATTTAGGCATCTGTCTGTTTTGTGTTGGTTCATAAGTGATGGCACCAGGACAAAATTTTGACTAAGTGCTACCTAATTTGGATTTTAGGAAAACAAACAAGACAGTCACTAAATAGCATCAGTCATCCTGACACAGAGAGAGATGGGAGGAAGAGGAAAAAGAAGTGGTAGCAATCACGTTGACTAAATTCCATGAAGATCAGACAGCAAAACGACCCCTCCACCCCAGGAAACAATCCCAAATGGTTATCACCGAGCTGTTTTGCTGGGAATGTTTCTGCCCAAAATTCCAACCACGGAGATACTTCAGAGAGATCACAAAGCCCACCACCCAGTGAGTGGCTGCTTCCTTGAGGCCTTCAAAAAGAGCCATCCAGATGGGCAGCACTTTCCAGGACAGCTGCAAAGTTGCGGGGTTTGCGTGGCGAGCCCTCCCCGGTGCCTCCGGGGGCTGGGAGCAGAAGGCTCACCAGGAGCCGCAGGCTGGGGAGGTGCTCCTGGCCCTGGGAAGGGCAGCCAGGGAAGAAGGCAGAGCAGGGATCCTTTGGAACGGCCGCAGCGGGACCGCAGCCGCACACGGGCTGCGGTGCTGGCCGTGCCCCAGGGATGCCCTGAAGCCCCGGGGGGGCTGTGGCTGCGTCCCAGCACCCCAAACGCGGCGGTCAGAGCGACCCTGGGGCTCCCGCGGTGCTCCTGGCCCCCGGTGGTCGCGGCGGCTGCGGGCCCGCCCGTCCGGGGCGGGGCTCGGCGGGGCGGGGGCTCGGACCCAGCCCGGCCGCGCTCGCCGTCAGAACCGGAGCCGTCCGCAGGTGCGCAGGTAGGAGCCGCTCCCGGAGCGCCGGACACCCCTTCCCTCCCGCCCGCTGCCGGCTCGCTGTCGCCCCGCCTGTCGCGACTCGTGGGCCCGGCCGCCGGGGAGCCCCCGAGCCGCCAGCGGGGCAGGGCTGGGGCCGCGGGGGTGCGGCCTGCGGCAGAGCCGGGAACCCCGCGCTGCCTGCCCCGAGCACCCTGTGCAGGTACACACGGGCCGGGGGAGGCTATGAGAGCCGCTTCACGCCGGGCCTGAAGGAGCAGCTGTGGAACAGCTCTCCCAGCTCGTGGTTGCGGCGTCCCTCTGGGAATCCATCCCTTCGGCGCTGAGGGATGTGGTGGTGACAGAGCTCGGCAGGGTCCCCCTCAGCCGGGTCGCTGCACAGCGGTCCCTGAAGAAGCTCACCTGTGTTCAGTCTGTGGGGTGGGACAGGTCCTGCCTTCCCCAGGTGCTGTCAGGACATGCGGGCTGTGTCCGGTTAAGTTCCCTGGAGGGAATTTAGGGTGTCAGAAAGGCTATTCAGCTGTGCTGTGGTGCCTCACGGAGAGAAGGGCGAGATCCTCTCTGAGTGACAGAAAGATGCTGGGTGCTGATGTCCACGGTCGCTTGGGATCTCAGCTTTTAGTTAGAGCATCATGCTTGTGCCAGACATTTGATTCAGAGCCCTTAAGCTATAAAGGTTGCAGAAATTATGAGTTAACCCTTCTGCCTTTTTTTTTCTTTTTTTTTTTTTCTTTTCAAGCAAAGCTACTTTTGAAAGCGACCCTAAGGGTTGTCTGATCAATATTCACACAGTCCTCATGCCATGGCAATGTAGTTATGCGTGGTTAATTAGGAATAGCAATTCAATATGGAGGAGGGCAGTGTGTGAAAGGTATATCCTGACACTGACTGCCTGTTGTGTCTTCTGTGCTCAAACAGATGACAGTCCCTAAAAGAAGGGGACTTGATTCTTGCCCACTTTCTGCTTTTGGGTAATGGGATGAAGACAGGGGCTCCTATTTGCTTGACAAATGTCCTGCTCTTGATTTCACTGCTGAACTATTAAAAGTCAGATTGTTTTGTTGTGGTTATCTATGCCCAGCTGTCAGCATTTTCTGAACCTGGGTGCTGAAAGTGCAGTTGTTTCATTTCCCATTTTAAGATTCTTTGTGCTGCAGTGTTTGCTTTTCACATGCAGAGCTGGGATGTGTGCTTGTAAGAACACCAACGTTTTCAACTGGGGTTTCTTTTTTTTCTTGGAAGAAATGTAATGTCCATGTTTTTGTGTCTTCCCCCAGCCATTTCCGGGCAGCCTGAGATTGCAAGATTGCGGTTTGGCTCAAAAGAGAGACTTTAAGGTCCCAGTCCTGCAGTCCAAGCTGAGGCAATGAACTGTGATCGCAGCTTAAGTGGGAGCAAAGAAGCAAAGAAAGGTCTGTGAGGAAGGAGAGAGAGGATCCTTGGCAGTATATTGGGAAGGATACACTTGGATAGGAGGTGGTGGCAGGTGAGGAAGCTGCTGCTGCAGTAGAAAGCTTGGACCAGGACTCTGAGTGCACGCTCTTCTGTGTCACTGATTTCCAGTGTGACGTCGCAGCGAGCAAATCACTGGCCTTGTTGTCTAAAATGGGAATAATTGTGGTGTTTTGCTGTCTCAAGAAGACTTGCAAAAGTCTCTCCTTGATTTATGTCCCTGCAGGTTGCAGAAGAGGTCACCTGAGGTTCAGGGATGAAGGCAGGATGAGAGTGAAAAGGAAGCAAAAAGCATTGGGAATAGGTGGAGAGAGAAGGGCAGAGTGAATGGGAGGAGAGGAAAAGACTGATGAAGCTTCAAAAACCATGAAAGGAACTGTTAAAACAGTTATAGGTTACCTCACATGGAGTTTATTGCACATTTTTAATGCAGAGGTTGCTGCTGGATGGTCCTGCGTGCTGGGGAGGGGTCTGGGCTGCCTCTCCCATGGGTAGCAAAAGGAAGGGAGCAAAAGCCTGGAGGATGTGGGCTGATCTGTTGCAATGGTGGGGAGAGTATCCAGCGTCCTCTCTGCAATTTCCTGAGCTGGGGCAGGTCCAGGTACTTAGGGAGAGAACTTCAGCTCTTGCTGTGTTATTTCCTGCTTCTCGTGAGGAACCGCTGGTATTAATAGTGGTGACTGCCTAAACCAGAAGAGCCAGTGGCCCTTCAGTTTTGGCACCACAGGACTGCAAGAGTGGGTTTTGCCTGGCCAAGATACTGAGGATGGCCACAGCTTTGTCAGGAGAGTCTCCCCAGTGTGGTCTTGGCCCAGCTGAATGCTCTTGGAGGTGGTTTAATGTGGTCTCCTACAGGAAAGTCTGTCTCTGAAGATATTTCGATAGACTTAAAAAGTAATAATCCCTCTGGATGCAATGTAGAGGTTGCTCACACAGGCTTGGCCTCCGTTTAACAGCTGGAAGCTCTTCCCTGCTCCCCCCCTGTTGTGTTTGCTTGAAGGGAAGCACTGTATGGCACCTTCCTACTGTAGGTCACCCAAACACCCTACAAACTGCAATTTATGGATGTAGGAGCTTGAGACACTGGTAAACAAAGGAAATTGATTCCTACAAATAAGGAATGCTGGCGATGAAGTGGTGAACACCACAGAAATGCCTGTCTATGATTGCTTACCTCATACTTTGCTTCTCAGGGCAAATGGTTTCCACAGGTCTCAACAGAGTCAAAAGACAGTCCCTGTGCCAGAGAGGGTCACTTTAGTGGGATGACAAAAGCCAAGTCATGGGTACTGCACATCCGTTCCTTGCAGCTTCCCCTCTGGCCCATCACCTGGCTGCTGCTCCTCCGAGGCTTTGGTGGTTAATATGTGAAGAAGAGGACCACTTTCTGTGGAGGAGGAGGAAGTCCTTAGGCTGAAGAGGTTGATGAGGGAAAACTGTCCTGAGAAACAGTGTGCTCTGCCACAGTCCCCTAACAGCTCACAGGTCTTGGGTATTTTCCCCATGACCAGTTGCCTTTACCAAAGGAGTTGCTGCTCTGGGGACAGTGTACATCTCTCCAAAAGTGTAGAGCTGCAAAGTGCAGTGAAGAAAGGAGCTTATACTTCAAAAAGGTGAATAGAAGAGGGAATTGAAAGGGATAAGAGATAGGAAAATCAGGGTAAACAGGTTGGAGAAGCCCTGCTTACACCCCATGAGACGTTCTGTAACTTGAATGTGTGTTTTTTGTTTGGTAGGGAAAAAATAGTGGCAGGATAGAAAAGGCAGGGGAACCTGGAATTTTTCTGGCTTTGCAGGGTGTGTACTCTCTCATGTATAAACTGTAGGAGAAGGAGACAATATGATCAGGAGTAATACTCGGCCAAGTCTGTTCCCTTGGGCTTAGTCTGTTTTTCCTTACCTTCAAAGCTATTTGTAAGTCAACACTTGCAGTTTCACCTCCCTGTTAAGTGTTCTTTGCCACTCCCAACACTTCCATTGTTTTCCTGATAATGGGACAAACCTTTTGGGCAGGCTTCCTTCCCCCTTCCTATGTAATGTGTGTCTTGGCTTTGCTTGCTCCTACAGGTTGGAAATGATTGAAGACATTTGTGATTTTTGGAACTGAGGAGCAAATAAAGCACCTCTATCAGTTTACTAATACCCTCTCAAGACCTCTGTACGTTATGGGAGGAGAAACACTCAATCTGCTTGTTGCTGCTTCATTAGATTGGGGTGGTTGAGGTGGAGGACAATGACTAGACAGCCTGTCTGCACAGTGCCTCTGACTTCCTGGGCTTTGCCATAACATCAGCCTGCATTTCTGTATTGCTTGCAGAGCAAGGAGATGGTTTCAGAGACTCTTTCCTCACAGCACAGGTGTCTTATTATTTTATAAAGCCTTTTTTGCCCTCCTCATTTTCCAGCAACTCTTTACTTTGGGGTTTGGCTGGGACTTAGAGGTAAGTGCCCTTCTCACAAGCATCCCAAACCAAAGGATTCTCAAGGGGAACCTTGTGGTCATGGTGGTGGTGTGAGACTGTGGATTTGGTCTGTGTTGAGACTCTGCTAGAGATATCCCTCGTGTCTCAGAAGTCTGGTGAAAGTGGCCCCAGTCTTGAGCATCTCTGTTTTAAGGAAAATTTCTTGTCTGACCACCCAGAAACCACTCTTGTCAGTCACACTTCCACCATCCCAGGCTGTTACTGCTGGGACCGAAGCCCTTTCACAGTGGGTAGTTCCATTAAGCCAATATGTGCCTTGCTTGATTCCCCACACACCCCACATTTACACAGTCAGACAGGTTTTCCTCACTGGCTGGACCCCAGGATTCCCATAGCAGAGTCCCAGAAGCCTGGACCCTTTAAGTAATTTAATCATGGTGTAGTAACACCACAACAGCTTGGTTTGATGTCTTCAGGTGGACTCCCTGCATTAAAGAATCCCTGGCCTTTTATGTCCTCACAGTCTGTGTGCCTATTCCAAACCGGTTATTTAGTCTGGGGTCTTCTCTCTCTTTATTTGGGTTCTACAGAGTCTCTGGGTAACCAGCCACCCTTGGCCAGTGCCACAGGTCTTCATGTCCTCTGCTAGGCAAGGAATGGATGCCAGGTCATGGCTCCTTGGATGTGGCTCCAGCCACCACCACAGCCTGCTCACCTAGATACTACTTGCATTCCTCAACACGTGCACTTGGAGAGAATAAGGCGTCTGCCCTGGGAGGTGGGCAGTCCAGCACACACTGGGAGGACTCACTGGGAGCTGGTTGTCACCTGACTTGTGCGGCCCCTGAGGCAGGAGGAGCTGGGCTGGCTGTATTTTGCAGTGAGTGCTCCCTGGCAGAACGGGATCCCTGGGGCAAAGAAACACACAGCACCTGCAAAATGCAGTTCTCCTCAGCTCACCCTGGCTCTCCTGCCTGGTTTCACTGCCTGCTGCCCCAGCTCCTTCTGTCTGAACTGGATGTTACCTTCTACCTCACCCAGCTCATCTCTCTGTCTCCTTTACCTCTTTGCAGGCTGAGGGCCAGGACTGCCCAAGCTCCACTCATGATAAGAGTGGGACCTCATGGAAGTCAGTGTGATCTGGCATAGGTCCATGGGTCAAAGCCTGCAGAGCACCCCTTTAGTTCCTGTGGTGGCAAATCATACTAATTTTTATTTTCTAACACCCAGGAGCGTGGTCTGGAAGTGGGGTGTGCCTGGTTTGTGCAGCATCAAATGCAAGACAGGCAGACTCAGCCCACAAGAGTTGAAAGTCGGCGTTTCTGGCTGTAACACAGCAGCTCGGCACTGGTTGCTAAATGGCCTGTAAGTACTTAGACCCATATGTGATGAGACTGAAGGTTGTAGGGCAGCAAGAAGCAGAAAACCAAGGGCCCTCTTTGAAGTACAGTGGGATGCACTGGCCTCAGGACCCAGCAGTGCTGCAGGGATATCTCTGGGTCAGACACTGTAGATGTCAATATGTCCTTTTCTGGCCCTGTTTTTTAGTGATTAGGTTTCATTCCTTTGTTGCACTTGGCCCATCTCTGATAGGTTTATGTTGGCCAGAGGATTTCCTTAGCACCCTGCGTCCCAGTGTGTGAAATGAGACAAGAAACTTACTGATGTTGCCCTTGGTGAAAACATTGCCTCTCAACATTGTTGCAGGATTACTGAAGCATCTCTCCTGCTTCCCCCATGCACAACCCAGAGATGTCTTTACCTTTTCCCATTCCTCTTGTGTAAATAAAATGGAAATGGCATTTCTGCACATCCATGAGATGGTAGGTGGGTACCTGGAGCAAGCAGAACATCCTACCCTGCTGACAGAGGGAATCACTTTTTTTCTTGTTACCCCACCATTTTATTATGTATTTACAAGCCTCTGTCACATCTTATCTCTCTCATTGTGCTCTCACACTGGAAACCTTGCGATAAACCTGAAAATGCCCTGTTTTGTTATGTTGGCATTTGTGACTTGTGGGTGGCAGGTTATATAATGTGCTGGTTTGTATCCACTCAGTTACAGTGATTAGCTATCTAGTGACTGTGGTTGTTTTTGCTTTTAACAGCATAGGGAGCTATAGTGGGCTCCCCCAAAAGACAGAATGTGTTTGTTTCTCTTTGATTGTTGCTGACTGGCAGCAATTCTTTATGACTTGCTCTATGTTTTGAGCAGTGTCTTCCTTCTTGCAATGCTCCTAGCTTTGTACCTGTTCTCTAAAATAACCCAGTGGCCCAGTGCTGTGAAATGCAGGAGTGTTACTCAGGCTTATTATGCATTTCAAATCCATCTGCATGCTTTAAAAAGATGTATGACTCTATTAATGTGGTAATTTTGTCCTTCCTTACATTCATGTTCTCCGGTAAAAGCAACTTCAGGAGGAGCCTGTGACTTTGCTTGGCAGATGAAATTAAGATGTCCATATTAAATGAACCTTGAGCAAGCAGCAGTATATGTTTGGTGAGCTGCCTGCTGTAGTTGAAGTGTGTACATTAGAGGAACGGAAGCTTAATTGGTTGAGGGTGTATAGCGGGGCAATGGTAAAAAAAGCAGAGCAAGCAGCTGACAGTCTAAGCAGATATAGACAGAAAAATGGAACTGGAGATGAGTAAGCTTGCATTGAGAGAAATTCTCAAGACACACACCAGGGCAGTGCTAATGTGAAACTCTTTTCAGTTCTACACACCTCAGCAGGGGGTTTGCCGTGCTGGTGTGAGAGTGTGTGTCAAGAGGGACTGGAAAGCCACATGTGAGCTTTTGAGAAGGAGGGCTGGGTCAGCTGTGGTACCGAAAATATTTTTGTTATTTTGTGGTTCCATTGCACCGTGAGGGCTTTCTGTCACTGAAGGCCTTCCTGTGCAAGCCTTAGAGATGGAAGACAAATGGGTATGGGAAATTACCAACTGCCTCTTGGATGCAGAGTGTTTATTTGGGAGAGTATGGGCTGGCAGAGATTGCTGTGGTTGCCAGCTGGAGTTGACTGCTCAGATTTGGCATCAGTGGACATGGCAGCAATGCAGAACAGAGCTGTGGAGAGGAGGTTTGGCTTTATGTCATCTCTGTGGAGCAATTAACTGTCGAAGAGTTTGTTTCTACATTTCCCATAAAAAATTTTGGTAATTTTTCCTATCACTCTTGGCATTTTACTTTGGCTAAACTGGTGTGGTACTGAAGGAGAGGCTGCTTTTTATATTCCTTTTTTTCTTCTTCCTGTCTGCTTTTGGAGGTGCTGGTCTTAGTGTGCACGGAGGTTTCCCAGCTTGAAGATACAAACACTGGGGACATCCCTGAAGAGGACAAGGCTAACCCAAAGGCAGCTGCTGAGAATGATGTGTGCTGAGCATTAGTGCAAGGCTAGGCAGGTTTGGCACATATTCAGGGTTTCTCCTTTGGAAGAAGTTTGGATTACATGTAATTTTGTTCCTGGCACCTGAATAACACAGCAGGGAATGAATGAGAAATGTGCATGAGCTGAGCTGTGTTTCTAAACCATCCTCTGCCCACGTGGGGATGCTGAAACATATCCAAGCATGTGTGGGCTGTGCCAGTGACCAGCATTAAAAGGTGTTGCTGTTTGGGGATATGGGGGAAAGGGATCCTTCTTTCCTGCTTTTGGTATTTTCATCTGCCAGATGCAGGTGGCTTCCTTCTTTTTAACTGGCTGAAATTAGGGTCTCTGACCTATGGAGCTGGCTTCCCATCAGGAGGCTGTGCTCTGCACCGATCGTTCATTTAATATGCAATGATTTCAGATGTCGTTTTCTGTTAGTGGCTGATGGAAGGGGACTCAGTGTGGCACAGTGAATACTAAACAGAGGGCTGTTTTCCAAGGAGGTGAGTCTGTAGCCATGTTGCTCTGACTCTGAGGAGATTGGGCACTAGTCTTGGCCTTGCTCCATTTTAGAGCTCAGCACAAAGCAGTGGTTATCTAGACAGTATTTTCACATTTTCCCCACTTTGTTCTGGTGTGGAGTCCATGTCCCTGTGTGTTGCCTCACTGCTCTGCCTGGGGAAAAAGCCCTTGCCACCTCCTTCTCTGCATGACAGGCAATGCTGAAATAGCTTGTGAAGGCTGCTATTTCCATGCTGGAAGCTGGAGAAGCTGCACCAACCCGTTAATGAGGACGGGTGTTATGGCTACTGTTTGCTTTTACTGTGTAAATGAAACTTCTGTACCTTTCCAAAAGTGAAGGGTAAATAATATATGCCATCCCCTCATGTGAAAGAATTGTGTTACCTTGGCTCAGTCCAGCCACCACCAGAGACAAGAGGAGAGTTGAGCACAGCAGTAATTACCTTGCAGAGCAAGGGCTGGAACCGGAGCTGATGTTACTTTCCTGCTCCCTTCAGCCAAGGCAGGAGGGGGCAATTTGGCCACCGTTAGGTCTCCCTTGTGTGGGGCGCTGGTGCTTGGGCACTGTGCTGCCAGAGGCCGTCAGGGTCACGGTCCTGTGGCAGGTGGGGCAGCTGCCACCTGGAAGTGGCCCTTGAGATTGCTGTCATGGGTCTCCCTGTAGCACAGCACCGTCCAACATCAGCTAAGGAATGCTGCTGCAGTGCTGCTGAGCAGCAGGAGGAAAAGGCAAGGGCTGCCCTTCATGGAATAGCTGCAGGCATGACAGCGGGAGCTGTGCAGGTTACAGAGATGTGAAATGCTGCATCTCCTGTGCTGGAGGGGAGGAATAGAAGTGAGATGGGAAATCTAGTACCCCTCATGGATAATTTCTTCTGATCTTTTCTCTGTGCTAAAGATCTGTATGCACACTGAAGCTGCCTGCCTTTTAAATCAGCATACTTAATAATTGCATCATTTCATGCTCCTTGTCTGCAGTTCTCTCTGCTCCCAGGTCAGAGAAGAGACCTTATCTGACTGCTTTTCTGTCTTTTAAGGTTTGGAATTCAGCCTTACCCCAGGCTGTCTATACAACCAGCACAAATTGTGGCCTCATGGCTTTGTGCAAGTGTAGTGTGACTCTGGACACTGCCAGGTTGTTGTTTCATACCCCTGCTAGGCCATTTGCAGGGAGAACAAGATAGCTGATCTGTAGAGGTGAGAGTGCCATGCCTCCTACATGGCACAGGGAGCCTCACTCAAGTTCTTCAGCCTCTGTCCCAGTGAGGCAGGAATTGGTGTCTGGGGCCCTGAGCAGACCACTCAGCGTGTCCTTTGCAACTTGGGGTGCCTTAGGAGAGCAGTGAGCTGGGGGCTGTTGGAGAAGATGAAAATGGAAAACCTTATAAATATGATTACCTGGCAAAACATTTTGAGAAAATGGAAACTATAAGCGAGATTGAAATGAAATCCATCTTTGAGATACCAAACCTTAGTTACTGAACAACTAGAAAACAATAGTATGGCCAGCTGAAAGTAATCTCCTCTTGATTGAACAATCCCCTTTGCTTGTAGACAGGTCCAAGGGTCAGAGATGACCCTACTAGCATGGCATAGGGTGTCTAAAGAGTAGTATTTAGAGTTTCAAGTGTAACACAGTATGGTAATGTAATGCTTCTTATAGGCTGTATGTAAATGCTATAGGATTTGTATCTTGTATTAGATTGGTTAGTGAAAATTAGAATATTCAACACAGAAGATGATTTATTGTATTGTAACGGGAACCTCGTGCTCTTACCTCTCTTACACCTCGCTCTCTTACCCCTTACCCCTTGCTCTCTACTCTTCTTACTCTTGCCCTCCTACTCTCACAGGCCTGCTCCGAGCTGCAGGTGGCAGCTCCCAGCAGGGCCCTTCTACCCACGCCCTTTGCAATAAACCAAAAGTTCCAACCCCTGGCTTTAGAGATCTCTCCATCAGTCCCGACCGTCCAGACCACCGACTCTCCTAGAGGGGGCTGCTGTGACATGGTGAGGATGGTGCTGACTTTCTTCTGGGTCTTGACAGCAGGGAGCAGACCATGGCTCTGTGCTGCAGATGAAGGGAGGCCAGGGGAGTTGAGAGAAGGAGGATGACTATGCTGGTACTTTTTTCTCTGGGGTAAAGGGAAGGGTCATGGCTTTAAGGACTTGGATGAGGTAATTGAGCTGCAAATGCAAAGAAGCTTAAGTGAGAGGCTGTCACCTCTAAGCTGTCCTGAGACCCCAGGGTGCCTCACTATGCCATGTGGGTGCTGGTGGCCCCAGGGAGTGCCTGCACTGCAGCAGGGGCACAGGTGCTGCTGTCCTGGTGAAAGTAAAGCAGGTGCTGGAGCTGTGAGCTCCGTGTTGTTCCCCTCTCTTTGTGTCTCTTGGCTGTGCTGGTGCCTGGAGGAGCACTTATGGAGGAGGACAGAGCATGAGGAAATCCTTGATCCATTATCAAAGGACTCACATGGAGACGTAGGACTCTGTGTCCGCAGCACAGCAGCGTTTCTGAATTGCACATATTACAGGAACAGCCCTGGCAATCCAGATGCTCGTCCAGCATGATCTTGCCTGGAGGACAAATGCTTCCCGGGGAGGCGGTGTCCAAGCACCCGTACGCCCCATGCAGGATTTCACAGTGCCTGCACGTCAGGGGCTGATGCTGTTGCAGAGCCTCATCTCGACTCCCTGACAGCATGCTAGGAGCCGGCACTGGAGCTTGGCTCTGCTCTAGGTGTGGCCACACACTATTTTTAGCTGCTTGCTGTGGCCAGGATGGGAGCTGGTTGTGTGCTTTATGGAGATGATGACAGCACGGGCATCTCTCTCTCTCTCCATGCTGCGGGCTTTGCTGAGGCAGCGTGTGTGGAATTGGTAATAATCCTGGATAGGAGGCAGCCTTGCCTTGTGCGTGTGGGAAGCAGTAGGGAGTCAGAGCTGCAGGTCTTGTGGTCACCTTGCAGGAGATCCTTAAGAGAAGTACTTTGAAAACCACTCAAATTCTGTAGGTGTGGTTGAAAAGTCTCCTGCCCAACAGCCCCAGTGCCTTGGTTGTTACCAGCTGCATGCAGGACGCTGCCTGTGTGCAGCAGCTTAACTCTTAATGCCAGTAGTGACAGCAGGAAAGGTTTGCAGTGGCCATGAGGAGCTTGATACCTGCTGTGGGGATGCCCTTCTTGCTCTCAGAAGAGGGGGGCTAAGGAGGGTGGGTGCCTCAGCCTCTGTTTTTACTTTATTCTTTGTTTCTAGCAGGTATGGATGGGAAGAAATGCAGTGTGTGGATGTTTTTACCTCTTGTCTTTACCCTGTTTACATCAGCTGGATTATGGATAGTGTAAGTTATCTCCTGCTGGTTGGATGGGAGGCTGCTTCTTATTAAAGAGTCTTTTGGGGATGCTCTGCCCTTGAGCTACTGTGGGGCTGGGAAGGCACATGATAGGGGCAGGGGCCAGTCTGTGCCAGTTCATGGCTTGAAGTATCACATTTTTATTCCTGAGTTTCTGTGCTCCCCAGGCCAAGTTGCTGACCTTGCTTTCTTCCTGGTATGTGTTACTGGGAGCTGCCTGAAAAGAAACAGCCAAAAATGTAAAAATTTCCTTTAATCACATTTTATTTGAATGACTCAGCAGAGCTCTTGGAGAAACATTTAGGCCCTGCTTTGGGGTAGAAATTCAAAATCTGCAGCATCCAGCACCACACTGATGAAAATCTGCCAGCAGCTTAATGCTGACACCTCACTCTCTCCCTAATGCTTCTTGCCAAAATGCACTCAAGACACACACTTCCCTGAGCTTGGCTCTCTCCAAGCATGCAGGCAGATGACTGCAGCATGGATTTGGGAGTGATAAATGTGTTATCAGCAGCTATACTCAGGCTGAGAAGCAGTTATGTTGCAGGATGTGGCTTTGACCATGGTCTATGGATGCTGTTTTTCAGCAGTAGGGGCAGCTTAAGCCTTTTGTTTGACCTCTATTGCTTGTTTTTCTTGTCCCATCCCCTCTCTATTAAAACCGCTTTTGTGGATGGAGTACCATAGTACTGATGATTCACAGTACCTCATGAATCAAAATGACTCAAACTAAAAATGAAAACATTCCCCTGGCTCATTATTTTAAAGGCAGCTCAGTTCAGTGACCCTGTTTGTGTACTCAATCATGCAAACCAGATGCAACACGAAGGCACATGGACTGAGAAATAAGCAAAACTGCCTGCTTGTGCAGAGAGAAACACAGGCTCCTCCAGCAGATCCTGCCAGTGGACTTTGAAGCACTTAATGTGTTGTTTGAATGATATTTAGAATGGAACCTAGAATGAGATTTTACACTATTTTCCTTTTTTCCCCCTTTTTCTTGACAGGTACTTTATAGCAGTGGAAGACAACAAAATTCTCCCACTAAGTGTACCAGATAGGTAAGAGCTGTTTGTGGGCTTTATATTCAATCAGTTGTTTTTTTGAAATAATGAAACAATTACAGGAAAATGGGAAAGAAAACCTTGAATCTTTATTCCTGTGCCTGTGTCTCTTAGGAAACCTGGTTCCAAAAGACCACCTTATATAAGGTAAATGAATTATTTTCTTCCAAGTACTGTTCTGGTTGATGGTTGCTATTTATGTGTCTTTGCCTTATAGAGTTACAATGATGCACTTTATATTTTCAAGTATTGCAGGTGATGCACCTCCTGCAAGCTGTGTGTTTAGTCAAGTCATGAACATGGCAGCATTTCTAGGTAGGAACCACAGCTGGAGTTTCTTTCTTTCTGTTTGTTTTAAGAGTCACTGAAACTTAAGTAATATCCTGTACATATTCTTTTTGAATGTGATGATGTGAAACCTTTTGAACTGTCATTTTATTGCTTCTTCTTCCCATTGCAAAGAAAGAAATGTAACAGGGGAAATATAACCTCCAGACTGCAAATGTGTCGTGGGAGGTGTGATGGTAGGTGCCTGTCTTGGCCTCGGTGATGATGAAATGGTTGTGTTTAGAACTTTTGCTGTAATGAGAAAAAAGGGCTTTAGGGAATCAATGCAGAATTGATCCTCTAAATTTCAAGAAAGCAAACTTTAGGCTCTTCTGGAAGATACATACTGAGCAGAATACCTCAGGAATCTGCTCTTGAGGGCTTAGGTGTCCATGAGTGCTGGTCAGTTTTTAAGAACCACATTTTAGAAGCACAGGAGCAGGCAATCCAGCTGTGTGGGATTGTGCTCAAAGAGTGGAGGAGAAGACCAGCTTGGCTTAAGAGGAAAAAGCCATTATGTGGTCTCTGGAAGAGAGGTTAGGCTTTCCAGGAAGATTGCAGAGCTGTGGTTTGTATATGCAGGGAGAAGACAGGAAAGGCCAAAGCTCAGTTTGATTTAAAACTGGTCAGAGTTGTTTCAGGCAACAAAAAGAGTGGTTTTAAGTATGTCAATGGCAAAAGGAGGCCTAAAGAAAATATTGGGCAGATACTTGTTAAAGGCTGTAACCTGACTAATAGGGATGAAGAAGAAGCAGAGGCATTCAGTGCTTTTTCTGCCTCTTTAATAAAATGCTCTAATAAAATGCTTTAAAGATTTTAAAGTCTTTAATAAAATGCTGATAGAGCTTGGGCTGTCCAGTCCTCTCAGTTGAAGGACTACAAGTGTGGGAGTGACTGTCCATTTGTGAGCACTGGAATTGTCAGGGACCAGATGTATCAGCTGAATGCTCACTAGTCCCTTGGTCCTGCATGGGATTCATCCCAGAATACTGAAGGAGGTAGTGGAGGTTGGGGCAGGACCCCTCTCTGTCATCCACCCAAAGTCTTGGGATTCTGGGGAGGGCCCTGCTGGAAGCCAGCGTTATTCCAGTCTACAAGAAGGGCATGAAGAAACACCCAGAGACCTACAGACCTGTTGGTCTAACCTCAGTTCCTGGGAAAAATTACAGACAAGATGATATGGACACATTTAAAGAATAATGCAGTCACCAGGCACAGTCAGAATAGGCTCACAAAGTCCTGTTTAACAAATTCAGAATCCTTCCATGATAAAGCCACATACCTGGTGGATGAAGGGATGGATGTAGCTTTTCTGGATTTTAGTAAGATTCTGATGCTGTCCCTCACAGCAGCCTTCTGGAGAAGTTGTCCACCTGTGAGATCAGCAGGATCCCAGTGAAGAACTGGTTGAAGGGCAAGACTCACAGGGCTGTAGAGAAGCTGCATCTGTGTGCCATCCAGCCACCAGTGGTGTCCCTCAGGGCTCAGTTCTAGGGCCAGTTCTGTTCGATGTTTTTATCAACAATCCACATGAATGACGGGAAGGCACCATCAGGAAGTTTGCTGCTGATCCCAAACTGAGAGGTGCTGCTGGCTCTCCTGAGAAACCAGGTGCCTTCTAGAGGGATCTAGGGACCTGGGACATTGGGCAGTAATTAATGGGATGAAATTAAACAAGTCTAAATGCTGTATCCTGCACCTGGGATACCTGGACTCCAGTATGAATGGGAAGAGGATGTGGAAAGAGAGGTGTGGATCTCTTCCTCCTCAGAACCAGTGACAGGACGTGGGAATGGTTCAAAGCTGCTCCAGGAGGAGTTTAGACTGAACATTAGGGAGCATTTCTTTACTGAGAGAGTGGTCAAACACTGGAATAGGATTCCTAGTGAGATGGTTGATGCCTCAAGCCTGTCCCTGTTTAAGAAGCATCTGGACAATGCCCTTAATAACATGCTTTAGCTTTTGGTCACCTCTAAATTGGTCAGGCAGCTGAATTTGATGATTGTTGTAGGCCCCTTCCAATAGAAAAAGTCTGTTCTCTTCTAATCTCTCCTTTGTGGATAAAGTCAATCTTTTCTTTACTGTATTTGTGTAGTTCTGAGAGCTGCTTTTGGCTTGTATCTCTGACTACCTTGGTTATGTCAAAGCTAAAGGAGAGGAAAACTACAGAAACATGCTAGAAATGTGGGAATTAGTGAAATTGAAAATACTAGTGTTTTGCACGGAATGCTTTTAATCCTATTCTATCATTCCCATCTGGATTTAGAAAAAGATCACATACTTCCAGGAGTCTCTATTGTAGAAATAGAAATTAAAAAGTTCCTGTACCTAAGCTTGAGTAGTCACAGGTGGCTGCCCCAGTCAGTTTCCTGGGGATGAAAAATAGAAATCTTCTTTTTGGTGGGAACAAAGTTCTCATTTTTAAGGATTGATTCACTAGAGCAATTATGAAAGAGTAAATTCAAATATCTTTCGCAGTTTGGATAAAAGTAGGTATTTTTCACTTACTGTGCCCTTATTTTCCTAAACCATGTTTTTGATATTATACCAAGGGTTTTGTGGAAAATGTAGATCTAATTTGCTAAGGCAAACTTCTTACAACAATATGAGCTGCATCCTATCAATTTGAGCATGAGCATAAGAAGGTGTTTGACAGCAAGCAAATTTCCCTGTTCAACTAAATTGATTTGTAGTGGTCTGGCTTGAATTGCATCTGAAGGCCAACTGATTGCCTGGCTTTCTGTGTTCTTCCATGCACCATTCACTAGGGAGGGCAAGAATACACAGTTTGAGTATTTTCTGGGGTTATGCCATATCATATGATGTATGATATACCATGCTGATCATGTATTATATACCGTAGTGCTTGGGGGAGTTGTTAGCTTGAAAGGAATGTTATTCCATTCTTCATGGAAAATTGTTTGTGGCAACAGAACTTGTTCCCAGAGGAGAAGAAGAGGCAGTGGGCATTATGGCAAACCCTACAGAAATATGTATGTGCCATTCATATGTTTTTTTTAATACAAGTGGGGTTTGACATACCTCTTCCAGGAGAGCTCAGGACTTGTGAGTGGAGTGAAACAATGCAAATCCAGGTGCCACTAAGTGAATGCATCATGTGAATGTGATAGACTCTGTGCTGGGAGCTTCACAGGCAAGCAGGAGGGTGTTCTTTCCCCCAGAAATTTGCAGACAAAGCATGAGAAAGAGAAGTCTGGAGCTTGCTGTAGCTGGATTACAAGAGAAATGCTTCCTGTGCTTGGTCTTGTCCCTGATTACAGAATTCACAGAATGACTAGGTTGGAAGAGACCTTCAAGATCAAGTCCAACTCATGCCCTAACACCTCAACTAGACCATGGCACCAAGTGCCACATCCAGTCCTTTTAAAAACACATTTAGGGATGTGTCCACCATCTCCCTGGGCAGACCATTCCAGTACTTTATCATCCTTTCTGTACAAAACTTTTTCATAATATCCAACCTATATTTCCCTTGGTTCAGCTTAAGACTGTGTCCTCTGTTTCTGTCATCTGCTGCCTGGAGAAAGAGACCAACCCCCACCTTTCAAGGAGTTGTAGAGAGTGATAAGGTCACCCCTGAGTCTCCTTTTCTCCAGGCTAAACAACCCCAGCTCCCTCAGCTGTTCCTCACAGGGTTTCTGTTCCAAGCCCCTCACCAGCCTCGTTGCCTCCTCTGGACGAGCTCCAGCATCTCAAGGTCCTTCCTAAACTGAGGGGACAGAACTGGACACAGCACTCAAAGTGTGACCTCACCAGTGCCAAGAACAGGGGAAGAATGACCTCCCTGCTCCTGCTGGCCACACTATTCCTGATTAAGTGGGAGGGGGCTGTGCAGAAGCACAAAGCTTGCTGGCCTGCAGGTAGAAAGAGGAGGAGGGGATTGTGAGCCCCCAGGCAGATGTTTGCTGCAGCAGGTTCTGCTTACTGATGCCCCTTGCCTTGTGTTTCCTTCCCAGCACTTGTTGTGGCTGTCCTGCGCTTCATTCAGCTGAAGCCAAAGGTGCTCACCCCTTGGCTGAACATCAGCGGCTTGGTGGCACTGTGCTTGGCCTCTTTTGGGATGACCCTACTCGGCAACTTTCAGGTACTGCTCTGCAGGCTTGGACTGCTCTGTCTGCCATGTGAGTTCCCTGCTTTTCTAGTGGATCTGCTCGGGTCTGTGAATGACCTGTGATGTGAGTCTGGGAGAAGCATGTGCCCCAGCTCTCTCTTTACCTGCTCTGCCCCCTCTATCTGCCACTTGTGTGCCGAGATGAAGGGCCTCAACCACTTTCCACATGTCTCCAGCAGGATTTGCACCTGCATGCTTAAACCTGACCTGCTGAGAGCCACTGCAGGAGCCTCCTGAATCTCTGGAGCCCTGGGAGCTGGCACAGATGGCTCTGGATAAGAGGGTTGAGCAGGAAGTTTGCAGACACATCTGTGGAAACAGATGCACAAATGCCCATACAAATTTAGCAGATGGCTCAGTGTCCTTCTTTTAAAACATTTGTTGGTTTAAATCCACCTCTTGCTGATCCTCAGACCTACCAGGAGAGGGACACAGCAGAGGAGTGCCAGGACTTCTCCAGATGTGATGGGTGTCTGGGTGAGGGCCCTCCCATTCTCCCTCTGTTCTGCAACGTTATAGGAGCAAACATCTGCCACATCTGTAGGGATGGGTGTCCCCTGTGATCACATTTGCCTCTGTCAGGGCTGCAGTGAACATCAAGGTGTTGGAGTCAGTGGAGTCTCTGCCTCTCACTGGGGCACAAGCAATGACCCCAAATAATGGCAGGAACTGAGAAAGGTCAGTGCAGGCTGGCTGCTTCCCTGGCTTTGCATGACAGAGACCCAGTACAGAAATGGTACTTGTTTTGTGGAGGGTGAGGAGGATCTCTCTGGATTGTACAGTTATTGAAGAAACTTGATGTCCTTTACAGTTGATTTTTTTTTTTTTTCTTTTTGAATGAGATGTGAGATAATTTGACTTTTATGGATTTGGTCTTCCTAACTCCACAGCACAAACCCAAAACCTAGGGTCTTGTTTTTTCACAAAGGCTTCCCAGTTAGGAATTATGAAGCCTTTGTAACAGCTTTGTCTACCTCTGAGAAGACTATTTCTAGTACAGGACAGGCACTAGGAAACAGTTTTGGCCTCTCCTTCCTTTTCTCACTCTTCAGAGGAAATGATTGTAATGTAGCAGTAGATGCTTTGAATCATGCCTGGCTATAAATTCTGATTATTCTCTGATACCTGATTCTAATCATCCATTCCTTGTTAGTTACCTGTATCCTTTCTTAGATCTTTTGCCAAACATGAAAGCATGTGGTAATGAGACCTTAGGCTATGCCTCTCCCTGCCTGTCTGCTGAGCTGAATGTGGCATTAAAGCATATTTCTGGAAAATTACACATTGGGTTTTTAAAGGGATGTTATAGCTGTGAGTCCCCTGCAGTGCTGATTATCTTGGGAAAGGCAGCTCAGTCCTATTTTTGCCTGAATGATTATTTGGACCTACTCTTGAAAGAAATTCAGGGTAGAGAGGAGAGGAGATATCAGTGGAGGCCCAGCAACTAGATTGTTGTCCTGTAGATTGTGTCTTATTTGATGGATATTTGTTAAATCATCAAACAAGAATTAAGGTTGCAGGGAGAAGTTACAGACAGGTGGTTTCTTTTCTAGAAAAGCCTCAGAGGCAGAGGGAAAATGGAAATTGTTTGGCTTAAGTCCATGCTGGACTTTTTGAATGGATTTGCAGCCTCAAGGGATCTTGCTAGTTGAACCTGGCTGTCATTTTGCCTTGCAGTGTTGCACAGTCACTGAGCCCTGTGAGACAGGCAGCCCAAGGAACAGGGAAGCACTGGCACTCCATAGAAGTTGGGTTCATGTTCAGTGGTTGAGGATGGGCAGAAGAGGAAATTTGGTGGGAGAAAATTGCCTAACCAGGAGCATGTATTTGTGTTTTGGCTTGTGCTAGCTCAAGGGGGTGTCAGGGCTCTGCTCCCTGCAGCTGGCACTGAAGGTGCACAATTTGCATCCATTGCAGGGAGCTGTACAAGACGCACAGTGGGTTGTCCTTGCCTGCCCTGGCCATCACCTTGAGCAAAGGAAGAATTTATTTCTGAGCTCTGCATTTGTGAGTCTTGTCAGGGAGCTGTGGAGACAGTCCCCAAGAAACTGCATTTTCCATGGCACTCTTGGGCTTTGGGCAGAAGATCTGCTTGACTGTGACAGCTTCAACTCACCTTGTTTCTGTTACACTTTACACCTCTGCCAGAAGAAATGATACAGCATCTCTGTCTCACACCCCAGTGATCCCCACTCTCCCCTACCCCACCTCAGCAGCAGCTAGTTAGCTATCAGATAATTCCTGTTGTATTTGTTCCTAGCTTTCCAATGATGAGGAGATCCACAACGTGGGCACTTCGCTGACCTTTGGCTTCGGGACGTTGGCGTGCTGGATCCAGTCTGCCCTTACCCTCAAGATCAACCTGAAGAATGAGGGGCGGAAAGCTGGGATTCCACGAGTGGCTCTCTCAGCCAGCATCACCCTCTGTGTGGTGCTCTGTATCCTTTTGTCTTGCTCCCCAGGAAGCCAGGTATTGTGTATGTTCTGCAGAAGCTCTTCTCACACCTGTCCTAGGATCTCAAAGCATTTTGGAATGCTACTCAGGCTGTCTTCATGGTACAAGCCTATTTCAGTGCCATACTGTGTAGAGTGATGCTTCCAGATTTCAGAGAAAGGAACAATTTTGCACGTGATCTAAACAGAAGGGAGTATTTCACAGTGTGGATTGAAAGGTGTTCCCATTGCCTGCAGTGGGTGCAGTGATTTGATCCAGTTCCCCCTGGGAAGCTCGTGGCAGGTAGGGGCCAACGGCCAGGTCTCCACTTGCTGGCTCTGTCCCTGGCTAGTTGGATGTTCAAGCAAATCACTGACTTCTCTGCACCCAAGTCTTCCCCTCTGTTAATGTTTATTAACATTAATAATATGATCTGGGATCAGGAAGCCCTGGTCTGTGTAGGAGAGCTGCTGTGCTCCATGGGCATCATTGAACACCTGACATCCCTTTCATCTCCAGCATCACATTTACACTCTCCTCATGATGGCTGGATGGGTTGACTTACCCAGGTGACTTCGTTCAGATTTTTTTCCCTGTTGGCTTTCAAACTGGTTGGTGTCTGCTCCCACTTGTGTTCCCTGACTTTCCTCTTCCAGATTTCATCCTTATGGCCCAGGGCATTCACATGCATGCTTCCAGGATCCAGTGGGGCCTAGTGATGTGCTTCCTGTGCTACTTTGGCACCTTTGCAGTGGAGTTCAGGCATTATAGATTTGAGATCATTTGTTCTGAGTACCAGGAAAACTTTCTGAGCTTTTCTGAAAGCTTATCAGAAGCCTCTGAGTACCAGACAGATCAGGTGTAGCCTGTCCTCTGGCGGGGGGGGAAGGGGCAGGTGTGATCTCATGGGTGAAACATGACCTCATTTACACTTTTTTTATGAGTTTGTTTTCATGTGCAATCATAATGGTATTGCCAAAGGGCTCTGAGGGTGACTGTCTCACCAAGAACCAAACAAACAGAGGTATCTGCTGGAAGAAGAGTGGATCCATCTCAGTGAGGGAGCACAAGCTGCTTAGTTTGTGCCACCAGTGGCTCTTTCTGAGCGGCTCTGTCACACTTCCGTTGTTCAAAAAATTCAGCAGCCTGTCCTTGTGATGCCCTGCTGAGACCAGTCCTGTTCAGCCCACCCTTCAGAGAAGGAAGTAGAGGAAGCAGACTTCTTCAAACAGCAAGAGTCTTCAGGAGTCACCGGCTCCCGAGTCACCAGACTGCATCTTCTGTGTTTTTTGGGTTGTTTTCTTTGCTGCCAACTGGGGAAGCTTGGTAGGGAGAGCAAGAGCAGCTGTTTGTTTCTTCAGAACCTGGAATCAGACACGGAAGACCCCAGTGGACTGGCTTTTAAAAATGGCAAGAAGGCAGGCATTTTTTCCAGCCTGGAAAGCAGCTGATGGTAAATCTGGGTTTTCTGTGATCAGGAAGTGAGACTTAGCTGATGCTGCCTTGTATCCAGGCAGATCATCCCCAGGCCAGAGGGGGTGACGCAGTGGGATGCTGTGCTTGGCTTCCTGAGGGGACTGGTGGGAGTGAGATGCAGAATTAAGATGAGAATGTCTGTGTGCTCTGAAGACAACCCAGAAAAGGCTGCTTTTTCCATATGTAGTGCTTCCACCACACATTGTGTATAGTATTTCAGAAGATTTTAAATTTTTTTTTCTTTATGTTCACTGAGGGGGAGAACATTGTGTTAGAGACAATAGGCTCGTCTGCCATGAGAACAGTACCAGTGGTTCTAGGCACAGAGTTTGGTTTTGCTCCTTGTGCAAACCAAACTTCAGACATGCTGGTTTGGGTTCTCGGCCCCACAGTGTTGCCAGTTGTCCTGAGTGGAGCCTGCCACAGGTTTAAATGCACTTCCAAGGTGCCAGGAGGGAGTTCTGCCCTTGAGGCTGGGTAATCTGCCTAAGAGCTGGAGGTGCAAGAAGGGAACAGCAAAACCAGAAGGGCTTCTCCCTCCCTATAGGGAGGTTTTCAAACAGAAGGTCTGTTTTCAGAGAAGGAGCTTAAAGCCCATTTTGAAGACCTGATTTTGGGAAGGCTGCTGTACTGGCAGGGCAGTGATGGGAATTGCTTCTCATTAACATGGTTCCTATTTTCCTCCACAAATCAAGCTCAGCTTAGGTTTACATCTTAGCTGTAGGAAAACAAGCAGTAACTAAAATGGTAGGAAAAGGCACTTGAAGGGGAACTCCTACAGCTCTGTGGCATTTTTGACAAGAGACAGAAAAGGCAAAAGGGCATTCAGTCTTCTGCAAAGGTCACAGCCCTCCCCTGAGAGGACAAACAGTTGAGACAAACTCAACTGTGTGTTAAGTAGAAAGCTTTCAGCCGGCCCTTTGTTTCCTGTGCACCAAAACTTGTTCTCAGGCAGCTGTTAAAAATCCAGAGCATTTTTGGCCAGCAGAGCGTTGTGGATTGCTGAAGGCTCCCTCCTTGTAGCAGTGTCATTAGTGGAAAGCTTTCCTGGAAAGATGTGCTGAGAGTGGCCAAGGACACAGCAGTGTGAGGTGCCAGCTCCCTTGAGGCTCATCCAGGGAGCTCTTCCTGGGCAAGGGCAGGAGGGGGCAGTCAGGAGAACACGCAGGTAGGGATCCTCTTGCACTGGCACACACTCGATCCGTATGGAGCACAAAATAGCAATTTGTTCTGAGGGTGTTTTACTGTAAATAGTCCACTGTGACTTTTTTTCCCCTAATTAATACTTCCAATTTATTATTTTAGCTTTTATAATTTTATCGGAGGAAAAAGAAAGATTATGTGGTTATTTTTTTTCTTTTGCTCCTTTTCCTATATGCAATCCAAACTGAACTTCAGGTTTTTAGTGATAATTCTGTACATTTCTTAGAGTATTTCTAACAGCACATTTCAGTACAACTAAATGACAACTGATATACACTGAAACATGACCACTAAATAAAGTGCTTTTATGGAGAAAGTGAGTTTTATTTTTGTCCCTACCCCAAGCATAGCTTTTTGATGGCAAAGGCAAAACAAAAGGTGAGTATTTATTTACAGTGTAATGATTCACATTATCACTTAAGGAAGCTAGGGATCATTCAGCCATGCAGATACACTTATTGTAACAGCACTAATTAGCAGGCTCTTTCTAGGAGCAAGATCACACCCATTGCACAGCCCAGAAAGGCATCTGGACTAGTTGCCCCACAGCCTGACCTGCCACTAATAGATTTTTAGAAAGGCCATGCTGGCACAATGTGGTTTCCTCCCCAAGTGCCTGTCTCTTTCTTGTTCTTTACCCATCAGCCTCCCTCAACAGGGACAGCTGTAGGTGTAGATCAGAGCTCAGGAAGGCAGCATGCACATATTCTGGCTGTGAGGGCAAGACACCAGTGCATGAATGCCAGCAGCAGGGAATGGGGAAATGGGGATTTCAGATAGGAGTTTCAGACTGCCTCTGACTCCACTACTACCTGTATAACCTACCTGTGGCTCTCACTCCTGCACTGAGCCACAGCTGTAATCCTAAAATGGTCAGGGAGGTAGTACAGCTTCCTTGGCAGGACAAGGCTGCTGCCTTAAAGAAAGGACTGGGGAAGGTGAAAGCAGGAACACAGTGTTCACAGGTTTAGAAATAAAATAATAAAATTTGCCTTTTAGGTGCTGAGATCACTGGTGCTAAGACAGGAAGGCTAAATGCTGTGATGGAGTGAACACAATGAAAGCAAAGTTGTGTTTTTATTTACTACATTAGGAAAAACTCCATGACCGTCTGATCTACATTGGCACAACTTAGGTAAGGTGGAAAGGTCAGGGATTTAATTCTTATCAAATGCAGCAGGATGTTTGCCCTCAGGAGCAGTTTGTCAAGGTTTGCTCACAGCTGATCAGTGCTATGAATGTGTGACTGGGTGAGGTTGGTTGGAGGAGGAGCTCCAGGGGTCAGTGCTGAGATATTTCAGAAATGCTGTCAAGCTGACTTTGGGGTTCAGCCAGTTGTATCCCATAGCCCAGCACCACGATGCAGTGAAGTGTGTCCAGAATTTAATTTAAAGCTGTATTTATATATACTCGACTTCATTCTGGGTAGGGTGGCTGTGGAGCTCTAAGGAGCTTCTATATCTAAGTTGTCCTGTTTTGTACCTAGAGCTGCTGCAGACAGTCAAGATACACGTTGTTCCTTGTCTAAAGAGCTTGCCTGCAGCAAGAGCTGGCTTTTTCTACTGTATTTTAGCCCACGCTTAGCATTTTCCTTTGGGAACCCTAACTGTGAATATTTTTGACTTAGCCAGAAATCCTATCTGCAGGGAGAAGCTCACATATACCCCCGTGGTCCCCAGCACTCCCTCTGGGACAAGGGGACATAAACTTTGTTTGCAGACTGCTTCTAAAAATGACAGAGCTCACGGTGGGGCATCTCAGCACCAGATTTCAGTGGATGAGTCTGAAGGAAGCATTCCCTTAGCTAACTGCTAGCCAGGAAAGACGAGGAACAGCAGGACTCATGGGTGCTGCTCCCTGCCCTGTTCCCAGCTCCAGCTGGCAGCAGGCCTCTGTCCTACTGCACAAGGGACCCCACACCAAACTCTCCATCCATACCTGCCTGCACGAGGCCCAAGACATAATGTGGATTTAGTTCGAAATTCCGATTATGGACAAAATTAACCTAACATTTCACAAGGACAATCGGGTGAAGCACAGTCTTTTGTGCATGCACCGCTTTCCCTAAGTGGAGGAAGGCAAGAAGAGTTCGGTGAAAGACGAGATGAGGCTGTAATAGGATTTCTCATCGTCTGTCAGTCCTGCGTTGCCCGGTCTGATCACCACAGCCACGTGAGTGTCTGCCTCCTCGGCTGCACTGGCTTCTGAAACAAACAGAGTGGGGAGAGAGAAGCTGAGAGCTGCTTACTGGCCTCTTCACATCAGGGTCCTTAAGGCTTGAGGATGCCCCAAAACACTCGAGTGCTTTTAAAGACTGAGAAAGCAGCGTTTGCACGTGGCAGGGCCCTAGAGAGGAACCAGCTCCTGGCAGACCTGCTGTTGATAGCTGTAGCTGCAAGAATGGACAGGAGCTGGCTGCCTCACCATCCTCTCCCCTCTGCCAGCTGATGGCTGTCCAAGGCACCTTGCAGGCAGCACACACCATCAGCTCGATTCCTGTCATGAGGCTGTGGTCAGCCCCCCTCCCCCAGTCACTTCTCACAAGCTTCTTTTTGCTCCCTGAACACAAAAGGCCACTGGAAGATGATCCAGGGAAGAGGAGGTAACTACAAGCTCCCACCAGCTCTGCTGCCAAGGCTGGGGAGGAGGTAAGGACTAATAACTCGGGGGGACTGAGCTGGTTTAGACTGAGACCCAGTGCCATTTCTGCCAGAAAGATGTTTCCAGCAAAAGCAGGAATTAAATTAGCTTCTCAAACCCGACTTTCCAGGGGTCAAGTGTTGGCAACCTGAAGCAATGTTTTCCTGCTGCTGAACACAACCCAACCATGAGCAGCACAAAGAATCAGCCACATAGCAACACAGCAAACACCATCGTTTCCCCTGGCCAAACCACTGACCCTGTTTGTAAATGGGGCGTGTTTCAGCTCTGCTTCAGCAGTCTCTCCTTCCTGGTGGTGCAAAGGCAGGTTTTCTACTTGACCTATTTTCCCTCATCGCAGCACTGCACACGGATATCCCATGGCTGTGTGCAAGCCCGGGTGTGTAAAGGAGGATGGCAGCAGCTGGAGAGAAGGTGCTGAGGCATTTCTGGGGTGCTTGTGAGAAGTCAGCAGCACACCTCTGAAGAGCACCTGCCTCTCCTGCACAGGTGAGAGCCAGCAGGACTGGCAGGTGACATACCTCGAGGGACATCTGTCAGGAAGAGGATGTTGTTGGTGGCACACCCAATACTGGCAGCAATCCTCCTGTAGCTCTCACTTTCTACCTTGGGGCCTATTTTGGTATCAAAGTGGCCATCAAACAGCTGAAAGAGAGAGAGAAGCACAAGCCATTACTGAATGCCACCTGAAGAGCAGGGATAAACCTCCCTCCCTCCCTTTCTGCCACAGTAACGAGGAGTTGGTGCAGCCATGCTCTCAGTCAACTGCTTGAGCTGAATTCCCATGGTTCAAACCCACTGCCCCACCTTACTGTCACAGAATTCATACCCAAAGTATTACAGCAAGGGAGATTGTGAGGGGAGTGCTCTGCAGGGGGAGAAGCTGTAAGGAAGGTGGTAAGGTTATCTACCTCTAGGATATCACCTTCTGTAGAGTATCCAAACAAAAGCTTCTGGGCTTCGACGCTGCCTGAAGAGTAGATATAGACCTTCATGCCTGCTTCCCGCCACTTCCTGATGGCTGGAACAACGTCCTCGAAGATTCTGGAGCAAAACAGGGCAGCAAGTAAGGGCAAATCCAGAGGCACCTGGAGGCACATCATTAGCCAGGCACTGTGACAATTAATTTGTCCCATTAGTTTGCAAGGGAACTTAATTTTCAATCTGCTCAGGGCTCCTGGAATCAGGCAGTCTCTTTCAGCAGCAGGTGATGCCGAGCTGGGCAAGGAGATTTTTGAGATCTCACTCCTTGAATGCAGCCAAGCAGGCAGCTTTCTTCACAGTTTTTGGCTCACCGTAAGACAATTTAGCCTTGTTTTTAAAAACAAAACCAACATGATATCTGTCTCTCTTGATTTGTT